GGGGACTCACGATAATCAAGCACCCTAAAGGAAACAGAACTTACTACGTCCACGTCGTTGTTTCCGGGTAACGCTAAAAGTAAGATGAAAGTGCTTTTGACCTTGATATGACCTTCAAAAGGTCAGGTCGAAAAACTAAAAAATCCCTATGCTCATGTAAAAAGTGCCATTGTTTAAGAGCCCATTGTCAAAAAACAGGTTCTGCGGTCAAAAATAGGGTTTACTAATCAAAAAATGCGTTATGAGCCTCAAACAACCTTGAAAATTGACCTCAAAGTCAAGCTAGTCAAAGTGATTTACACTTTTACAATTCATTGACTTTTTTCAAGTATTATGCACATTTGTGTTACCCAGAAAACCACGTCATTTCAGAAAAAGTACACCAGATCGTTTTTCAGGCATTTGACCTTCATTTTTGACCTTTCCAAGGTCGCAAAAACAATTTTTTCAAAAGACAAGTTTGATGTAAAATTTTCTGCTCTTTCAAAATCCGCAGTCAAAAATAGGGTGTCCCATTTAAAAAAACCATCGTGACCTTAAAATAACCTTCAAAATTGACCTCAAGGTCAAAACCAATGGTACAATTAAATGACCCCCTCTGTCCTGGTCAACTTTTACCTAAAATTTTTTGTAGATACCGTAATTTGGAAGATATTCGAGTCCATATATTAAAATGACTCACCCGTATATTAAAAATATGATAATATGCATTTAAAAATAAAATATTAGCTGAAGAATAAAGGTACAATTTCATGCTGACGCTTGACGTTTATTTTTAACGTCAAAACAGATCACGTGATCAAAATTGATGCTTAATATTCGTCAATTTGTATCACATGATCTGTATTGACGCTAAAAATAAGCGTCAAGCGTCAGCATGAAATTGTAACTTAAGAGAAAAGTGTAAAATAATTTATGAAACAATTTTTTTACATTAAAATATTTTATTTAGCAGAATCTCGTAATAACATTTGTTACAAGGGTAACAGAAACTGTTAAAAATTTTACAAGTATTCGTAAAATAAATAGATATTTCTTTTTTTCTGCGTACGAGAGGAAAATTTTTTCATAGCTCCTAATATTTAATAATAAAACAAAAATCAAATTCGAACAAATCGTAATAACAAAAATAAATATTTCACAAAATAATTACGTCACAAAAATTATTGCATTTTATATTATACTTTTAAATATAAAAATAAAAATTATCTATTAATTAATTATTTAAATATAAAGTGTTTTTAACTTAAAATGTAAAAACAACATAAATGATTAATAATAATAATAATCATGGAATATAAATATAAAGATTCTAACAAGCATTAAAAAATATTGGCTAGATCTGTCACTTTAAACAAAATAATAATTAAAAAGTATAAAAGTAAAGTTATATCTCATCAATCTTGTTTCAACAATAGTTATATCTCATCAAATCTTGTTTCTTGTTTGACAGATTTTACGTAGGCGACTAATGAACTCCCGTTTACGGGTAATGAGTACGATACTGACGCTGTGTTCGATGCGCATGCGCCAGAAACGCGGCTCGGCCCGCTCGGCTTGCATCACTGTAGGACTTGGGCCGCGGTCAGATTCGCGCTCACAGCACTATTAGTATGCTCACGGTAGCTTATAGGTCCGATTCACGCTTACAGCGCTGTTGTGAACATAATGACGTCATAATTACGTGGTACTTACGGTGCTCAGAGTGCCCCTGAATGAAAGGTAAGGTATCGTGAGCATCATGGTTGCGTGAAGTCAGGAACGCGAGAAAAGTAACGGTTTCGAAAGTCAACGAAATATTAAATTAAAATTTTTCTGTATATAAAGAAATTCAGAGTATAATTAAATTTCTTTATATACAGAAAAATTTAAATTTTATAATTATGATTTATATTGGACCGTCGATATTTAAAAACAAGTAAATGTGTAATCGGCCAAGTGATGGTCAAGCAGGATTTTTGTTGCTAAAGTAATTTATGAATTTTATTTACCAAGTATGTAGTCCCCTCAATCGTGTGCCGAAATTTTTTCAGACTTACAACGCAACTCTAAACAACTACCGTAATATCACTTAGTTAAATTGACAAGCAATCTAACAATTTTTTATGCTTATAGCATCTTATTGGGTCGCTACACGCGATTGAGGGGACTACATACGTGGTAAATAAAATTCACACATTTACTTGTTTTTAAATTTTATGTTTCGTTGACTCTCGGATTTACCCTTATATTATCCTCTATATTGTTTCGACATCGAGAGCTTTGTTTATTCTTTATTTTTAACGGTTTCGAGTTTAGAAAGAAAGGATAAGACAAGTCGCAATCTTCATTTACAAGTGGTTACAATAGTGCTAAAACCACAACTACAAAAAGAAATTATAATCTCCAATATAAAACGTAATAAAGTTTGTAAATTTTTTTTTCTACGATGTCAGATCAATTCATTTCCATTCCTGTTTACGTGGAAGATAGTGGCGAAACGATTATATTGAAGCTTTTACCACAAAACACTGCAAAGACCACTAAAGGTAAAAAATTAATGAATTTTTGTATTATATGGTGTTATTATATCACATAATCTATGATTTTATTGTTGATCAGAAGGAGATAACCTTTTGTTAATTACATTTTTAAGACTAACTATTTATTATTTTCAGATATAAATTATATGACAAGTCTCATTACGAATGTATATAAAAAAAGAAATAAAAATTTGATCAACCAAGAAAGTGTTCAAATTTCCATTGATAAGAGTAATGAGGTTGATAGTTTATTGATGTCTTCAAGTAATCTATCTTGCACTACATCCCTAGAGGAACAAGAATTTGATGATGATCCTAAGGAACAAGAATTTGATGATGATCCTGAGGATGAAAATGGTATAACTACGAGAATATGAGGGCTCCTATAATATAATTCTACAATTCTGTAATTTCATTCACAAAAATCTGTGGTAATTTCAGCAAATGATAAGTCACTTTTCATATGGTCATCCGCCTATATATATTTATTGCTTGATAAATATGAAGAATGACAAGGAGAATTTGCAGCAGGTACAAAACGTCATAATAAAATTTGGGAAACCATTGCAAATGAAATGAGGAAAATAAATAATAAATATACTATGACTGGACCACAGTGTCAATCAAAATTAAATGGCTTGAAAAAGACATATAAAAAGATATTGGATCATAATTCTATCTCAGGAAACGATAGAAAATTTTGGCTGTATTTTCAAGTAAGCCTGTGCGTGCGTGCGTGCGTGCGTGCGTGCGTGCGTGCGTGCGTGCGTGCGCGCGTGCGCGTATGTGTGCGTGCGTGTGGCGTGTGCGCGTGCGCGTATGTGTGCGTGCGTGTGTGTGGCGTGTGCGCGTGCGCGTGTGTGTGTGTGTTCCTATTGTTTGATTGTATGTACAGAGACTCTTACTGAAATAATTCCTATTTTCGTTTAGAGGATGCATGAAATTTTTGGGAAATCAGGATGGGCAAATCTTAAAGATATTGCTACAGAAGCTGGACCATCCAATGAACAGAACATTCTATCTGAGTCTTACTCAAAAAATAATAAAGATGATGAAAGAAAAACCAATAAACGGAAGATTGAGGCTGTGATAGATAACTTTATTTCAGATATGAAAGAAGAAAGAGTAGAAAGAGAGAAAAGACGAGAAGCCAAAGAGACATTGTTCCAGGAATTAAAAGATCAACGGGAAAGACAGCATAAGGAAAAAATGGAAATAATGGAGAAGTGGTTAGATGTTATCGCAAAAAAATAATTTAACTGATTTAAAGTATGCATAAAATTTATTCTCACAGGAATTAAATTAATTATTTGATAGAATTAGTTACTGCAATTTATCCATACAAGTAATTGCTTATTTTATTTTAGCAGTAGCTCTGTTAATATACAATTTTATTTTTTAATCATTTTCGGTTATATGTAAAAAAGCTCATTTTGAACTTGAAAATTATATTAAATAAACTTATTTTTATATACAGGGTGTCCAGTAAAGAGACGATTTCCTTTTAAGGGGAGATTCTTGAGATAATTTTAAGACGAAAATTCTAATACCAAAATGTTGAGGCTATAATAACTTTTGAATTATAAGCGTTTAAAATTAACGAATCATATCGTCTAAAGTTGGCGCGCTCAGGAACGGCATAACGCAAAGTACTAAACGCAAAAACTTATCACGTTTTTGTCAATATTGATTTTAAGAGATTACATATATGAATATAAGATTTTATTCTATTGATATTTCTTAATATAAATGCGTTATTCAAATACACTTTAAATATTTTATTAAAATAATCTTTATTAAAATAATAAAGAAGGAACAAGGAACTTGTATGAATATTATAAAATCATTAATTATAAACAATTATAATTATTTGTATATCTTTCACACGTAAAGAAAGTTGTGAAGTTATGAGCAGATATGCAAAACAACTTCCAATAAGAATCAGCTTTCGCATTTAGTACTTTGCGTTGTGCCGCTCCTGAGCGCGCCAACTTTAGACGATATGATTCGTTAATTTTAAACGCTTATAATTCAAAAGTTATTATAGCCTCAACATTTTGGTATTAGAATTTTCGTCTTAAAATTATCTCAAGAATCTCCCCTTAAAAGGAAATCATCTCTTTACTGGACACCCTGTATATAATAGTATGTTATTCAATACACATTATCAAAACAAATATTTTATACTAATTTTAATTTTGTGCATTTTAGATTGCAAATAGGATAATAATATTATTTTTATTATATGTATTTAATATATTCTGCAGCAAAAGTAATAAACTCATTTCTATACTTTGTAATATGCTATCTCTGTTCTATACTTCCTTATTTATTCTATTTTAGTAACTATTTCTATCTTAAACATATATTTATAAAATGAAACATTGAATAAATAATGATAAAATAATAAATATCAATATGTAATATATTCTAAAAAAGCTACATTATATATATAGTATATAAATAAGGTTAAAAACATTAAATAACTCTCATTGTCAAATTATTCATAATTCTTTGTCGTTTAACATTACTATCCTCCACTCTATTAGATATTAATGTTCCATACGATGTATCTTCTTCATATACTTGATTTAAATCTATCAAATCTCCTTTCAATATACAAATATTATGTAATACATAAGTAGCTACTAAGTATTCAGGAATTTTTTCTATAGTGACCATAGCCAAACAATCGAGAATGCTTCTCCAGCGTATTTTCCACAGCCCAATTGCTCTTTCAATTGAAGTTCTCACTGAAGAATGACACAAATTAAAATTTTTTTGTCTGGCTGTTAAATGCCCATTATCCTTAAAGGGCACCATAATATGAGGATGAATACTATAAGCAGCATCTCCGACAATATGAGAATCGTTAGGAAAATAGATTAGTGGATTTTCAATATATTCTCTGACAGAAGAGAGTCGAAAAACACGTGCATCATACACCGATCCAACATTCCCAGCCAAAACACTTGTAAAGAGCAATTTTTGAATACAAATTACCTAAAAAAAAGGTGAAATTGAAACAAATAAATGTTAAGAACTTTCAATTATTTTTAAAGATATTTTTTAAATTATTACTTGTACATATGGATTGAGTGATATCCTTTGCGGTTTACATATGATTGTTTATCCTCCTGTGGAGCAATTATCTTGAAGTGCGTACCATCAATAGCTCCGATAATTTTAGGGAATCCACTAACTTTTTCAAATTCTTCCATCACTTTGGTTGCTCTCTCATCCTGAGGCCACTGAATAAATCGTGGAGCAAGAGTGTGCAAGGCATAAGTAACTCTCCTCATAATACGAATTGCTGTAGCTTTTCCTACATCGAATTTCACACATACAGACCTATAATCCAGATTTCATATAACAAAATGAAAAAGATTTCTTTTTTTCTTAGCGAGAAGCTAAGATATATTGTGTTAATATACCTATATGAATCAGGTGTTGCCATCATCCACAAAGCTAACAGAAGTTGTTTTTGAGCTGGTATAGGTTTTTTGCCACTAACGATTTTATTAATAAAGGTGCTATTATTTCTAATAAGAACTTAAAAGTTGTAGGAAATAATCTGTAAATAAATTAATTGAAATTTCACAATTTATATTAATAATTATTCTAAAATAAAAACTGTTATGATACTATATATAATGTTTTCTTAAACAATGATCATTGGCTATACCTGAAGTGTATTTTGAATTCTTCAGAGGTGTAATTAGAAACTATTTTTTCCACATACTCTTTGACGCGAAGTCTAATTTGTGTTTCATTTCTTTGTTTGTTTAGACCTAAATCAACAACTGTAATAAAACCTTTTATTTCTTTCTCTTCGCTCTCGTCATCACTTAAAGACATATTTATTAAAATTCTAAATCATCATCTTCATCATTGCTTTCGCAACAAGATTCAAAAAATTGCAGCAATGTAATTTTCTCATTTATCTCCATTTCTTTTTGTTTTACCAATAATTGGATAAAATATTTATCCTTTTAGGTTATGATAATATAGGTCCTGCATGTAAAAAAAAAGATCAAGAACAAATATAGGAATAAATATTAAATATTACGGATAAAAAATTAGGAAATGAATATGTAATTGCTTAATGGGTACAAATAGGATATAAAACATATTAAAAATAAGAAGAAGGAACATATACCACACGCTGGTTAAAGGTAGCAAAAATCTCGTGTATTTAATAATACTAAAATTACATAAATATAAACGTTTCGGTCATTAATGTGACCATCTTCAGTATATACAAAACTTTTAATTTAATTCCCCTAATGTATTTTAAATAATAATATGTAAATAATAATGGGCAAATCCACAAATCTTTTAACTTTTACAGTGCCTTGAGTTTATTCTTTAACGAAAGGCAAAAAACAAAATCTATATAGAGAGATTTACTTAAACTGACACATTTTTCAATAACCAATTACTAACAGGATGCCATGTATCGATGAAAAAAATTTAGAGCACTTCAAATCTATAAAAATGGAATTTTTTACTGCGTGCCTAACGCGTATTTTTTAACACTTTACCTTATAACTTTTGGAACGAGCTCGTTTGTAATCTAAAAATTATAGGTTTCGTTAATTAGTAGTTATAGAAGGTAGGGAGCATTAAAAAACAGGTGTGCCTATCGCAGAATAAAGTCTGCATGTGTCTGAAGTCGCGTGGCACGAATTTATAAAAACGTAGTATTTTGTATATTTTTACTTATAACTTTTGGAACGAGAAATATCACGGGTCCCTGCTTAAATGAGTTATTTATGATCATGTAATAAATGATTTCCTACAAAGAAAATGTGTGTGCTTAGTAAACGCTTGATTCTATGAGTAAGCAAGGTAGAAAATGAAATCGTACCTTTATTAAAAAGATAACGTTTTTGCTAGGCACACGTAAAATTTACATTCGTATATTGTAATTATATGAGTAGTTCATTGATCTTTATGTTATAAAACTACTGTGAAGTTGTTCAAAAAATAATTTCAAAAGACGCTATATGTCAGAGGTTATTGAACATTTCGGAATATTATGACTGATAGGTTACACGATAACCTTCGGCTGAATGCGCCCAATGATTGCTGTGAAGTTGCCATATTTCGAAAAAAGAAGATCACCGAAAATGAAAACGTCGATTTACCTGCCACATTTGCACAATTTCATAACATTAAAAGTTTGTTTAGTGGTTTGTCAATTGGCAGCTTTGTACATGGTGTCGTTACATAGAAGATTATTTTCATAATATATATTGGAATATTGGTAAATATACTGTTTCAGTGTAGCGTAATATAAGCGTATTATTCATTTAGTTTTGTACTTTAAAAAGAATCATTCCGTAAATGCCTTAGATACGACTACCATCATGGCTACAAAAGAAGAACGTGAATTTAATCTGCAACAAAAAAGACAAAAAATGAAAGAGAAACGAATGATCGAGAAAAGCAAAAAGCAAGAAGAAAAAACAAGAATGGATGAAGTGAACAAAAAAAAGAGACAGCAAATTCATAGCGAAAAAAATCTTAATATGGATTTTACCAGGGAATGGAAAGTTACTTTTTAAAAGTAACTAGTTACAGTTACTCGTTACCGAGTAAAAAATGTAACTAGTTACAGTTACAGTTATCGCTTTTTAAAAGTAACTCGTTACAGTTACCGTTACTTGAAAAATAACTTTTCGTTACTTTTTTTAAATCAATTTAAAAATGTACTTTTGCATTTTTTTATATGTAATACTGACAAATATATAGTTTTATTTAAAAAAAAAAAAAAAAATGTAGAATGGCTCAAATAATAAATTAAATAAAAGTAAAATGAGAAGGGTTACGAGCCAATAATGAAACAGTTTATTTCCGATAACAACGATGATGAATGTAATTAAATGTATAAATATATATTAGAACAATACATAGATAAAACAAGATAAAAACAAACGACGTTTCGACACTTATTGTCATCGTCTTTTAAACTGTTTCGCTTTTGGGTTCATAGCCCTTCTCATTTTACTATTATTTAATTTATTTTTTAATTTTTTTTAAACACAATTTTGTAATTCTAAAACCTGTAAAATATGCAGCAAACTGAAATATTTGTATGTCCTATGTATTACATAGAAGATAGAAGTGTAAAATAATTACTGAATCATGACGGCCGAATGTCTAAGGGCTTTCAAGTCTTATTGATAAGCGCTATAGATAGCATGTATCCAATCGAACCGTGTTCAATCGTGTGCAAAGTAACGACAAAAGTAACTGTAAATTTCGTTACCGTTACCCAAAAAATGTAACTCGTTACCGTTACAGTTACCAAAAAAAGAAAGTAACGCAGTTACCAGTAAAGTTACCAAAAAAGTAACTTGTAACTGTAACTTCGTTACAAGTAACGAGTTACTTCCATTCCCTGGATTTTACACAAAATCATGATAGATTACAAAAATTAGAAAATACTTATCAGAATAATATGAAACGAGTTTTGAGGCCGCGCGTTACAGTTCCGATAAAAAACAAGACAGCACCGGGATCACGTGTTTCCCGTAGGACAAATGCAAAATCGGCAGATTATTTCAGTGCCGTTAATAATGACTTAACTTCTAGTACAATTTTCAATGATTCAGAAGTAACTAATAAAAGTAATTTAGAAATCTCTAATGATGTACGTAAATCTAGTGCCAAAAATATTTCAGATAAATTAAAAACGATGAAAAGAAGAGAACTAAAACTTCGAAGAATCATTTCAAAATTACAAAATACTATTGTGAAACAGAAGAAGATGATTAAATCGTGGAGAATGAAATACTACCGGCTAAATAAAGACAAGAATAAAGAAAATGAAATTCTCAAAAAGGTAAAATCTATTGAAAATCAAGGAAAGATTGAAATTAGGAGGAGTTTGATTCAAGGCGTGATATTCAATCGACAACTGCAAGACAGGAAAGATAAGTTGAAAAACGAAAAGGAAAGGTCTATTTTTGCATAAATGATATCAGGTAAAATTAATTATTTTCGGGGTGTTGGTTTAAAGTGAGTAATCCCCTTGCCTCTTACGTGTGCGTGCGTGCGTGCGTGCGTGCGTGTGAAAGCGGTGGGTCTGTGTCACACACGCACGCACGTACACACACTTCACACACACACACACACACACACACACACACACACACACACACACACACACACACACACACACACACACACACACACACACACACACACACACACACACACGTGAGAGGCAAGGGGATTACTCACTTTAAACCAACACCCCGAAGGGATCAGTTTCCAGTTACGTCCACGTCGTTGATCCTGGGTAATGCCGAGAGCAGGACACATTCTTATTTTAGTCGTATTCGACCCAAAGTTTTGAATGTCCGGAACGCGACTTCAGATTCATAATCACCGACTCCAAAAACCTACGAGTAACAAATTTTAATAAAATCCGATCGATATATCAAAATTTGTCGGCCATTTTGGATTAGCCATTTTGAATTTTTGAAAACTGACATCAGATTTACATTTGGCGACCCAAAAAACTTTTACATACAGAATTTCAGAATAATTAAAGAATTTTTCGAGTTTTATTGTATGAAGTTAGTTTTAAATTTTGGAACTTGTTGACTTTTATCAGCCATAATAGCGCCGTCATTAAAATTTTTGAAAGAAGCCCATCGGCATTTAAAAGTACACAGATGTACAAATTTTTTAAGCCCTTGAACGTTTAAATCCGTCAAGCCAAATTTTGTCTGGAGGTCTGTCTGAGTTGACGTGGAATGTCCCGTATGTAAGTTTGCAAGAATGTATACAAGATGATGTATGTATGTACGTAAAACTGGGAGTGTCCCATTTGACTACGTTGCGATTGACCACAGGTACTCACAACGGCCGGTACCTACAGTTTTTTTATTCAAGCACTGTGCATGAACCGATGATCAATCGCAAGATGGTCAAACGGGCACTACTCCATAAAACTTGTCATATTGCTTTATTCTATATAACACTAATTCTTTCTAGTATTCCATCTATGTTACTACATTTATATTCTACATTATAATTATTACATTCTATTATAAATATACATATTGTTACGTCTCCGACGTCCGCGTTCGACGTAATGCTCGCGCGCGTTCACGGAGAAATAAGGAGAACTCATGATGGAACAAGAAGGTTTTATTTAGTAAACACACAACAAGGAACACAATGTAGCGGAACGTTTTTAAAGCACGATGAGAAGCCACGTCCGAGCGCGACGACAGCTCCCACACAAATCCGTTAAACAACCACGGTCGCGTTGCTCGGCAACGCGATCTTCTTCCTGCAGGGACAACGAATTCCAGCGCTAACCGGGTGTCGAGAGGATACAGGCGCAACACTGCCCCCCTTCTTCTAGATTGTCGTTCCGACAATCGTGAACCTCGAAGAACGTCGGCCTTCAAAAAGATTTCCGAGTACCCGACCAGTTCACCTGCTCCCTACTGCGCTGCTGCCTCAGTTTTCCGGAGCTCTGGCCCTCTTGGGTCTCTTATCCCTTGACTGGCTCCCAAGGCTACCCGAGTCTTCTTCCCTTCTGGGCAGGGCCCCTCTTCAGTTCCCTCCAGAGGGTAGCTAATCCTCCAGAGTACGGAACCCGTTCGGGCATCCCCCCCATTTTCCAAAGCGAAACTCCAGGCTCTTCTTGCCTCTTTTCTTGAGGCCTTGCGCTCTTGGTTCTTGTTTTTCTTCGAAAAGAGGGAGGGAAATTTACGATTGTTTCGGTCGCAGTACCTTTACCTTCATTCCCCGCCTCGGCATTCGCCCTACGTCCCGCCGAAAAACTGCGACTCAAAAACGACGGACGAGGCAGCCTTCTTAAAAAAAAAAAA